CATCTCCCAGGCATGTTAACACCTCCATAAAGCCAGCACACGACTCGCAGGCACCGGGAAAACCGAAACCAGCTGCTCGCCTGGAGCGGGGACGGGGAAAAGCTGCTGCCTCCTCACCTGCTCACAGCTCCACACCCACCCCATCCCACCCTGCCAGGGCTCGGGAACATCCTCTGCTTTTGCCACCTCGAGCTAAAATCAGGAGGGAAGGGGCCAGCTGGATTTTCCAGGCCATGGAACTGAAATAACAGGGAATAATCAGGGATTGGGTTTTTCCTGCCCTCCATTTATCCGTGGCTCTGGGTAAAGAACATTTGTCAAGGCCTGTGGGTAAATCCGTAGGGATTGGAGCGACCTGGGATAGTGGAAGGTGTTCCTACCCATGGCAGGGGGTTGGAATGAGATGAACTTTTCAAGGTTCCTTCCAATCTAAACCAGTCTGGGATTTGATGATCTTCAAAGCCCCATCTGGAAAAACCCCCTTTGCCCACTGGATGAGCACAGGAAGAACGTCTGGCAGAGCAAAACTGTCCAAAAAATCAACTCCTACCACAGGGACCAGAAAGGACCTGAAGCAGTGAAGTAAAAGCAAGTACCAATTATCACCTGAGCTTTTTCCCGAGATCCCGAGGGACCATCATCTCTGCCCTCCTGATGTTGGGACTTTGATAGGGATTCCTCTACACTGACCCTGAGCCTTTAAGGAGCCAACCCAGGGATCCTGAGGAAAGGCTGTTGGCTCCCTGGAGAAGACACTTTCCTGGGAGCCCGTGGCATGAAGAGGCACTGGGAATCAAAGGAGTCCAGGCACAGAATCTCCCAGCTGGAGTCTACCACCTCAAGCCCAAAAGCCCTTTCTTCTCCCTTTTCCACGAGCAAACCGGAGCTGGACAGCGGATCTGGGAAGGGTTTCCCTGGCCATGCCATGGGATCCGGAGTCAAAGGGAGGTGGCAACTGCTGGTTTTCTGTGCCACCAGCAGAGGACAGAGAGAAACACCCCCAATTTTACTCACAAACTTCGCACAGGAGGAAAAGGCCAAGTGCTGGTGCCAGAGAGAGACTTCCCGGTATCCTGCAGGGAGAGGAAAGGCTCCGGCAGGGAGTGTGGAACAGAGGAGTGACAGAGTTACACTTGTGCCAGCAGCTCCGGGATATATTGTATTTACTCAGCAACACCCACACACCTTGCTCAGTCTCATTCCCAGCAAATCCCTCGGGGGAGATGCGAGGGACACACAGAACCACCGCCCCCGAAATCCGGAAAGGCAGGAAAAAATCCTGGGAGTGGGGAATGACGCGCACTCCGTGGGGAAAGGCTCGGGATCGGCACCCGGCTTCGGCAAACCGACCAAACCAAAGCATCCAGGGAAGCAGCTGGCCATCCTTTAGGTGTGCTCGTGGAGCAGGAATTGTTTGATGGGGTCTGGGACGGGCAGGATGTGGATGAGGTCCAGGCGGGATTTGCCGAGGGTTCTCCGGACGGCGATGCGGCACAGGGACAGGAGGCTGCGGGGGCGGCCTGCAAGGAAAAACATGGAATCACTGAGGGGATGGCCTGTAAGGAAAACATGGAATCACTGAGGGGATGGCCTGCAGGGAAAACATGGAATCACTGAG